TAAAAACTAAAAAACTAAAAAATTAAAACTAAATTTGTTTATCAATTAAAAATAAGAAAAAGGGTTTTGATTTTTGATTTTTTTAGATATACATTAATGATTGATTGCACAAATAAAAGAAATTAATTATTTATTTATAACGAGCTTTATAGTGACAAACACCTAACTAATTATTATTATTATTATTATTATTGTTTATAATTAAGTAATTAATTAATTAATAATTGTTGTTAAAATTTAATTATTTATAAACGGTGTACGTATTTAATTTTTAACACGGTTTGACATTAAAAAATTTTTGGCAATTTATTTATTTATTTATTTTTTTTTGTTTGTGTTTTTATCAAAAACAAACAGACAAACAAACAAAACAAACAAATAATTTAACAATTAAATTTTATGGTTATTATATATATATATCAATAACAGTCAATTATTATTATTATTATTAAACGGATTAATTTTTTTTTTTTTTAAATGAAAATGATGATAATTTGGTTTTATGGTTTTTTTTTTTTTTTACAATAAAAAGGTTAACTAAGGTTTACAAAAAAGAAAACCTTAGTAAATTAATAAATTAATAAAAAAGTTAATTAATTAATGATAATAATAATGATTACTTATTGATGTTTATTATTATTATGAAATTTTTTTTTCCTTTTCTGTTTTTAAATAAGAATTTATGTTAAACTACTACTACTACATGTGAATATTAATTATTATTATTATTATTTTTTTCATTTCAAGTGCCTGGATGTATTCAAACAAAAAAAGAGAAAAAAAGAAGGAAAATAGTAATAATAATGATGATAAAAATTTAAATTAAATCTACTTTGATAAAAAAATATTTTAAAAAAATTATAATCGTTTAAAATGTGGCTAAATATTATTTATTATGTGACATTAATTAAAAATAAATTATATATGTATGTATGTATATGTATAACATATATATAAAATGTGTCTTTGTCTAATTACGTAAATAATAATAATAATAATAATAATAAATTCACGTTTCGGTATTTAAAAATAAAAAAAAATTAAATTAAATGTTTTTATTTAATAATAAAAATTTCTTTGTATAATTTTTAATCGATTGATATAACCGCCATATTTGTTTAAAAAAAAAAAAAGGAGAAAAATAATAATAATAATAATAATAATAATAATAAACATATATACATGAAATTTTTTTGTTTTAAATAATTAAGAAAAAATAAAGAAAATATTTATTTATGATGATAATTTATTTTTATGCTTGTTTTAATTAAAAAATGAAATAAATGTTTGTATAAAAAAAAATTAATTAATAAATGTAGTGTTTAAGTAAATTTAAATTAATAATAATAAATAAATAAATAAATAAAATTTAAAAAAAAAAAAATTAAATGTTTAACAATCACTTTTTCAAAATAGTTGTTATTTTAATAACAAAAAAAAACAAAAAAATCATGATTGATAATTTGCTTTATTGTTTTGTTTATTATTATTATTATTTAAAGGTTGACAAAACAATTATTATTATTATTATTATATTTTAATTATTATTATGTACATATTTTTTTTTTTTTAAGTAATAAAAAATGCCATATTATTAATTTATTATTGTAATGTTTAATAAGTTGGGAAAATGTTGATCTTGATTGTAAAGAAATCGTATATATATATTATATATTATATATAATATATATATTCATATATATTATATATATTAAAGATTATTTTTTATTTTTTATTTTATTTTTTATACTTTGAATTGACTTTTGATTTGAAATAAAAAAAAATGAAAAACAAAAAAAAAAAATTGTAAGGCCTTAAATATATATATACATATTATTATTATTATTTTTTGTTTATGTACATGTATATATATATGAGTGTGTGTGTGTGTGTGCAAGTGTGAGTGTGCGCGTGCGCGTGTAAATATATCATTTTTTTTTTTTTTTTCGTATGAATAATTATTAATAGGTTTTCATAAAAACAGTTGAAAATATTTCATTATTATTATTATTATTATTATTATTATTATTATTATTATTATTATTATTATTATTAAATTTCTTTTTATTTTTTCTTTTCTTTTATTATTATTATTATTATTTAAATTAATTTCTCTTTTCTTACTTGCCTTACCGAGTGCCTCCGGGTATTTTTTCCGGCATTTGTTAATTTTTTCTGTGGTTTTAAGACAAGCCTCCCCCTTTATTAAAACATTTCTATTTATATTATTATTATTTATTTACTTAAGGTGACGTCATTATCCGTATATTATTTTCTTTTCATCGGCTATGAGACGCAGAACGTGAGCGAGTATTTTTATTTTTATTTTTTAAACATTTTCAAAATTTCATTTGTTAAAAAATAATAATAATAATAAATTGTTTTTTATTTTATTTATTTATTTTGGCTTGTCTTCTCGTTGGAATAATTAATAAATAAATAAATAAGTAAAAATTATTGAATGGGACCATCAATAATAAATAAATAAATAAATCTTGAAGTTTTTTTTATGTTTTTGTTTTGTTTTGTTTGTAAGTAAGCGATGCCATTTTTTATTATTTAAATAAATTTTTTTTGTTAATTTAATTTAATTTAATTTAATTTTTTTTTATTTATGTAAGTTGTTTTTAATAAGTGTGCAATTTATTTAAAAATAAATAATAAATAAATAAATAAAAATTGTTTTTTGCACAATATTTTTTTTTTTTTATAATAAAATATTAATTTAAAAAAAAAGGAAAAAAAAATTAATTAGGTAAAATGTTTTTTTTTTTTTTTTTTCTGTTGTAGGTTTGGTAAATAAATTTAAAATAATAGTCATCAATGTTTGTACATAGATATAGTTTAAGTATGAAATGTTAATAATTGTGTAAAAAATAAAAAACAATAAAAAAAAATTTATTAATAATAATAAATTGATGAATTAACAAAAAAAAAAAAAAATTTTTTTTGTTGTCGTTATACCTTGTAACGCCATGTTTTTTTTTTCTCATCCCACTCTGTATACATTTGATGTAATTATAATATTAAAAAAACTTATTTAACATTTACTTATTTTTTCATAAAAAATTATATATTATTATTATTATTATGGAATCCTTGAAATGAATGAGTATTAATTTTTCATTGTTTACATTTAAATTGCATTTATATCTTATCACAATAAACCTTATTATTATTATTATTAATAAAATGCTAAAACTTTTGTTATCATTATTGAATCATTAATTAAAATATTGTTTTATTTTCCGGGGAGGAGGAAAAGGGGGAGGGAAAAGGAGGGAGGAGTAGGAAAAATATAAACAAATAAAAACAAGGAAAAAGAAGGTGAAGTCGTACAAATTGCCTAACTTTTGTTTTTAAGGCGTTTACAATGATCGAATTTAAAATAAAATGTTTGTTTGATTGTTAGTAATTGTTTGTAATAAAATTTAATCGTACAAACAATTTGTTAAAAAAAAAAGAAAATTAATTT